TCCCTCCAGCCCCAGCCATGGCGAAGCAGTACGATGTGCTGTTCCGGCTGCTGCTGATCGGGGACTCCGGGGTGGGCAAGACCTGCCTGCTGTGCCGCTTCACCGATAATGAGTTCCACTCCTCGCACATCTCCACCATCGGTAAGGGGCGGTGGCCGAGGGGCGCCCCACCCTCCCCGCGGGGGGACCCTTCTCCTGCCTGCCCGGTCCCCGCCCCTCGGGCTAGAGGCTCTGGTGCGGGAGACCTGGGCTAGGGGACCAATCCCGAGGGAAGCGGGCCACTGGCGGGGGGCCCGGGGCCCGGGCCTTTTTTTTTGGCGGGGCGCCCGAGCCTCGGTCCAAGCAGGTGAGGGGGGTGGTCCCAGCTGCCTGCCGTCCGGGACTTGGGGTAGGGGTCTCCTTCCCCTGGGAGCCTTCCCAATGGAAGCCGGGAAAACCGGGGCGGGTGCAGGCCTGAGTGCCCCAGCTGGGGCGAGAACCATAGCCGCTTAAATGAGGAGGGGGAGGGGAAGGAAGACATGTGCTGGGGGTGGGGAAGGGGTCAGGGTGAGCAGCTGAGTCACCGGGGTGCCCTCAGCTTAGGGGTGAGCAGTGTGGAGCAAGGGTGGGGAGAGGAGGACGGGCGGGGCCGAAGGACTGAGTTTCCAGGGGCAGTTTGAAGGTAAGCCACGAGGTGGGACGCCTGGAGGAGGCCACAGACAAGGGGAGCAGCCACAGCGCTGGAGAAGGGACAGCCAGGTGGCCCAAACATCTGTTTTGAAGGAGGCAGAGGATGGAAGAAGGTCAGAAGACTGTCCAGACAGGGAGCGAAGGCAGGCGGGACCCCCTTACAGCATCACTGACCTGGCCACGCTGGAGCCTGTGGTTAAGGGACAAGGCCTGGTAGCATCCAACAGCTCTGTGGTGGGCACACCTACTCTGAGAGGGGTCCATGGCCTTCTTTCTGACAGAGTCACTCCCTCATGGTCTCTGAGGACCCCCCTCTTCTGGAGATCTGGGTAGAGGGATTTCCACCCACAACTGACAGTCTCCTCTCATGCCAGGCCCCTGGAACTAAATGCCTGCTGGCTGGTGGTGATCTGGAGCCCTCCCCTAGAAGCCCCTGCTGCTGTCAGGGAGGGCTCCAGCTCTCAGCTGCCTCTTCAGCATTGGATCCCTGCCCCCCACACACTCTGTGCCAAGAGAGAAGAGGGAACAGATAGACACAGCCAGCAGAAACAGGGCCTTGTGGGACAGAGGCAGGCTTTGCCGTCACACATACCTGGAGACCTCACTTTGGGGCAGTGCAACTCTGGGTATCCCTTAAGCTTCTGAGCTTTAGTTTCTCACCTGTAGAATGGGCATAATAATGGGACCTCTCTCCTGAGTTGTGAGGAACAAAGGAGATAATGTTCGCAAGCTGTAAGAGAAGCTGGGTAGATACTGACTGATTACTGTCATCGTCATTCTCTCTGCTTCACTGTCTTCAAGGAACTTAAGGTCAGGGAACGGAACTATCCATCTTCCTTAGAAGAGCTGTAAAACAAGCTTCTGGGCGATCCAGGATCTTGGGCTGGGCTACTGTTTGGACAAGAGACAATTCAGAGAGATACATAATGCACAGAGAGCCTGGCCAAGACAAGGCTGCATGGCTCTAGGGAGGATGCAGGGAAGAGGCAGGTATTAGGAAAAGCATGAGAGTGAGCAAGGGAGTGGCTGAGGAACCAGATGGTCTATGTGGACAGGTTGCGGCTCAGGGACAAAGTGCAGCAGGTAACCTGCCACCTAAGAAAAACTTGCAATGGCTATTTTGAGATGGGCCTGGTGCCAGGAGCTGCTAAGCTCTCTGCAGAGAGCTGGGGGCTGCCTGGGAGTCCTGACTGTTGCCTGAAGAACAGTAGCTTGCACCCTGGTGTGCTGGCCATATTCCATGCCATGGGAGTGGCCTGGACTTTTCTCTTTGAAGACTTCATTCATCCACCTCATTTCAGAAGCTCTTAGGACTCTGGCTACTGTTGTGGGGGATTCGCCTCTCCTAGGAGACACATATTCCCCTTTTCAGCAGAAAAATGAGGGACCCCCTGTTTTTAAAACACCAGGATAGGATGGGCCTGCTTTTCTTAGAGAGTCCCTTGCCATGGCCCACACCTCTGGTCTCCGACCCTTCTCCTTGACTCTCCACCTTGTAATTTCCCTTCTGTTTTTTTCTTTTTTTTGAGAGGGGAATGGGAGATTTCTGAGAGATTTTTGCTATAGGGTGTGTGCACTCACCAGAGAGACAGAGAGATAGAAAGCAAGTAATCACTTCCCCAGGGTGGATGGCCATGCAATAATCCCTTCTCCTCCATTCTCCTCTCGAGAGATTGGGCACACATGCACACACACCCAGCGTGAGTCTCAAGTTGCCAGATTTGGGACTCGAACCATGGTGGACTATGTGGGAGTCCTGCAACATAACCATTATGCCATCTGCTGGTCCCATAGTCTCCCTTCTTAAACACCTTCCTGCTAGATGGGTGAATGCTAGGTAGGTCAGAATCCCTTTGGGGGGACCACCTGGGGCACAGATGTGTATCAGCAAACTGCCTGGGTGTGTCCCCACAGCCCTCTGGCCCCCAGGGCCCTTATTGTGTATTGACTTAATGCCCAAAGATGATTCCCAAAGTTCTTTCTCTGCTTCTAATGACTGAGTCCCTCTTTCCATAGTACATAGAAGAGTCCTTAGGAGTTTGCATTTCATGGAAGAGACAGAATCCTGTCTTTCTTCACATCAGCCTTTCTAATCTGCCCACTGGGTTTTTTTTAAAATGCTTTCTTATTTAAAGCTTACTAAGGGACTTGTGCTTCTCTTCCATCTTGGACATGTTTTTCAGCATTAACTAAAACTTATTTTTTGCTCAAGAAAAGCTTTTTCCTTAATTGATGCAGGAAGTTTCCCGAGGAGATAGAAGGGGCACCCAGGAGACAATCAAGGAGCCAATGAAATGGGTACCCAAGTCACATTCATTAACTTACCCATTCTGAAGAAGCGCTGTGCTCTGTGGGCTTGGTGTGGTGCTAGACCCGCAGGTTCCAGTGCTCGCGGCCGCTGCTCTCCAGCTATGCCTAAACACGTTCTTTCCCCATGCTGGCCATTGACCTAGGCACCTTTCCCAGGGCCTTTTTTTTTGGTTAATGAGGAAAACAGGGCAATTCACCAATTACTGCCAAGACAGAGTTCCGATTTTGGGCTCATCTTGATATAACCTAGGGTGACATTTTTGTGATTTATTTACTGTCAGAGGCTGTGACGTTCTAGAGAGGAACCTGCCAGGGAGCAGTGTGGAGACCTCCCAGGTAGACTGAGGCTCCGCCCACCTCTCCCCTACCTTTCTCTTCTTTCTGGCCAACAGTTGGGCAGCTGACTTTGCAGCTGGATCTGTGCCAAGATCATTCCCTTCCCATGCTGCTGTGCCAGCCTAGAGGGGCTGGCATGGGCAGTAAGCCCCTTTGTGCTCTCTGCCTACAACTGTTTCCTGACAAGACTGTTTTACCTGCTAGACAAATTAACTGAGCACTCACTACGTATCACCATGAGATGTATTTTAACCTACCTTTTCCTGCCCACAGAAACCTATATGTATTGATAGAGAGGCAAAAAAGAGCTATGGCCAAGATGAGACAGTTGGCAAAGCACTCTTCAAATGTAAGGCATCCATTATCATTGCTGGTACTCTTCATTTTAAAAAAGTTAATTTATTCTCCCCATAAAAGAGAGAGAACTATAAATTTCTAGTGGGGTCTTCACACCGCAGCCCACCCCAGCCTCAGCCAGCCCAGGCCCCAAGCGTGCACACACAGCATGCACAGGGAGGTCTTGGGATGTGAACCTAGAACCTTCCCACATAGCTTCAGCATCAAGGAGCCTAGCAGCACTTTCCGTGCCACCTTGGCTAGCCCATTCATACCTGTACTCCTTTATTTTTTCAAATTTATTTCTTCCATGAGCGAGACAGAAAGAGACAGAAACAGAGATAGCATCCCCCAACAGGACCTTCCCCAGCTTCAGCCCCAGCTTCAGTCAGTCCCAGATCATGGGCACACACCCGTCTGGCACACGCAGGAAGGTTTCTGGAACCTTCCCATAGTGGTCAGCCTCTCAGAGCATTGCATTGTACTGCTGCTCTACCACCTGGCCCCAGTATTATTAATGAAGGTCTCACAGTCATTACCAGAAGCTAAATAGCAATGCAAGACATGCCACAGGCAGCCAGTGAATGGTGCTGGGGCCCGTGACATCTGTGCTCTAATGCAAGGCTGAAGATGGAGAGAGACCCCTGGAGTTCCAGCCAGCAGGGAAGGCTGGAACTCCTGTGTGGGCTGCTTGTGGGTTCCAGGAGCGGAAGGGAGCAGATGGAGTGACGTGAGCAGAGATAACAGAGGTGAGAATTGGGTGGGCGACTGTGGGGCTCTGGACAGTCTGGCTGCAACAGAAGGGAGTTTTTAGGAAAAGAATGAGAACATTCTTCTATTTAGCTCTGTCTCTCAAACTATAAGTACCTTGAGGGTGAGGCCAAATCCTATTCCTCTTTGTTCTAATAGTCCCTTGTGCAATGCCAGGCATCCTCTCAGCCCCATGTTATGAGATAATGAAGGACCAGCTGGCAGAGGGCATTGAGGGCCTGGCTGAGAGGAGGAAGTCGAGCCGCAGCAATGGTAGAAAAGGTTTGGGCAGGGGCCTTGTGATGGTGGCTGGAAGACGGGGCTAGGATTTGAAGCAGCAAAGGGCTGGGCAATTTCTAGGTATGAAGGAACCCTTAGCTGGCTCCTCTCTCTTCCCCCCCCATCCCTTACTGTGGTAGCACTAACCACAGTCACCCATTCCAGTGTCCCCAAAAGTGAGGGGTGGGCGACCTGATCAACCTGGCAACTTCTGAAAGGGCTCCCCAGGCAGGAAGGAGGTGCCCTGCTGGAACACCTCCCTTCAGGGGACTTTCTGCATTGCATCCAGGAGTGAGCTGTGGGCCTCTAATGCAAACTGAAGGTACTTCCCAGGAGTTGGGCTCTCCCTCCTATCCGTGGTCTTCCCTGAGTACACTGTCACCTGGCCTCTGGACCTTTGGTTTTAATGTCCTCCCTGGGGCTGCAGCCTTTCTGGGTGAGGAGGAGGCTGTGGCCTGTGA